CGGGCAGCCCCGGTGAGGGGAACGGGAGTGAGGGGAGAGGGCGGGCCAGGGCAAGGGGGGAATGGCGGCGAGAAGGGGAAAAAGGGGATGGGTGAGGGGAAAGCGGGGAGTGATGATGGGAATGAGGTGAGCGGAGTGAGGGGGATACGGACGTGAGTGAGGAGGAAAAGGGATGGATGAGGGAAATAGGGGTTAATGAGGGGGAAAGGGTTAAAAGGGGGGAAAGGGAGTGAGAGGGAAAGGGGTAAGTAATGGCAGAAAGGGGGTAAGGGAGGGAAAGGGGCAAGTGAGGGGAAAAGGGGAGTGAGGGTGAAAGGGAAATGGAGCAGGTGAGGGAGGAAATGGGGTGTGTGAGGGAAAAGGGGTGAGAGGAGGAAAAGGGAATGAATGAGGAGAAAATGAAGGAATGATGGTGGGAAGGAGGTGAGTGAGTGAGGAGGAAGAGGAGTTGGGATCAATGAGGGGAAAAGGTTTAAAAGGGGGAAAAGGCAGTGAGAGTGAATGGGGTGAGTGAGGGGCTATGAGAGTGAGGGGGAGGAAAGGGATGGAGGCAAAAAAATGAAGTGAGGGAAGAGGGGAAGGCAGAGGGGAAGAGGAGCAAATGAGGGGGAAAGGGCTGAATAGGGAAGGGATGAGTGAAGGGGGAAAGGGTCTCTCCCTGTGCATGTGATCCAAAAAAATGCATAAAATACAGCTTAGCTGGGATCTCCCAAAGCTTTGGTGCGTGTAATGTCTCTTCAGGACAGTTTTATCAAGGAACAATAAAACTAGCAGCATTCTTTGACATCCTCCTCCCAGATGTGCCTGGTGGACCCACACACAGCCTCTGGCACCTCCTGATAAGAAGCGTTGGATGTTTGGCAGTCACCAAGGCCATGTGCTATGAGCAGAATCTCGTTTTTGTACCACTTGGCCTGAACACCACATCCAGCACTGACACTGCTCAAGGTCTGTCCTGGTGTCAGCTGGGCTACTATTAATTTTAATTTTGTCACTCTGTTAATTTTCAGATGCTCTGGAGATGTTTGGTCTGTGCAGAAGATGGGATTTCCAAAAGCAGAGGTGCCTGTGCCACCATGGGAGCTGTAGTGCCGGCATGGGTTTGCCTCCACCTCTGCTCAGTCTCCACCAGCACATTTCATGCCCTTTATTTATTTCATTTCATGTGAAATAATCTGGTCAAGATTTGTCCCCACAAGCAGCAGAATCCCAAGAGAAGTAAGATCTTTTTGTTAAAGAAAATGCACCTCATCCATCATGTAGGAAAAATCTGTGTGCAGATGACCCCTCTCCACAAATACCAGGAAGATTCACCTCTTTGAATAATTCATTTGTTTTTTATTCATGGGGTCAGCAATTCTTCAAAGCTCAGACCAATACAAATTATAAAGCATAACATTTTTATAATAGCTGCAGGTTCCCTTTAGGTGATACATGTCTTTAAGGGGGAAAAACCCCTCCTGTCAAGGAGTTGTGCAGAGCCAGAAAGTCCCTTCTTAACCTCCTTTTCTTCATGCTGAGCCCCTTTCCCAGCTCCCTCAGCTGCTCTCAAACCAACAAAAATTCACATGGGGGATCAGGGTTCCTTTTCCCCAGGTAATCACGGGATTTTAGGGGAAGTTTGGTTTTCAGCAGTTCTTGGCTGTGAGGATGGGGAAGCCCTGGTTGCCCAGAGCAGCTGTGGCTGCCCCTGGAGCCCTGGAAGCGTCCAAGGCCAGGCTGGACGGAGCTTGGGGCAACCTGGGACAGTGCAAGGTGTCCCAGGCATCAACTTTAAAATAGATGAACTTCAACTCCTTCCAGCCCAAAGCATTCTGGGGTTCTGTAGTTCCAGGATTCCTAATGTTTCCCATGAGGAAACAGTAAGTCTTGAGGAAACAATAAGTCTGGACACTTTTAGGACACTTGAGCTTCAGGTTTCAGTATTCAGCATTCCCAACCTCTCAGCTCTAAGTTAAGGGCTAAAATGATACAATTCTGATTTTACTGAGTGCAGCATCTGCTGGAAGTTCAATGTTGTTATTGAGCATCTGGGCTGTGAATAACCTACAGCAATGAGAGGTCTGGGCAAAGCCCTGGTGAGGGGGAAAGTGGGATTTCAGCTGAGCAGAGCTCTTTGTCAGGAGAGGGAGTGGAGATGCCCTGCAGTGGCACAGGACACCTGCCCTCAGAGCCCAGGGAAGGACACTGTTATCTCCCCAAGCAGGCAGCAGCCACAAGTGCTGCTGCAGCATCCTCAGGGAAGAGGCAGGAAGGGGAATTAAAGCTGACACACCATTAGAATAGGGTTTGCAAGTGCTCCTGGAATCCCAGAGAAAGCAAATGGAAATCAGGCAGAAGCTATTTCTAGGCTGAATTTGGGGGTGAAAGATGCAGAAATAGGCTTTTGCTAAGGACTAAATTCAAACCCTCCCAAGAATCCACATTTAGTGTTCAAGGCTCCCAGTGTCTGTGCCAGCTCGCACAGCCTGGCTGCACAGGGGAAAGGAATACAAATATCATCAGGAGAGATCGTGGCAATTAGCTGGGATAAACCTGAGGAGCTGATTCCGGGAGCACTCGGGATCTTCATGCAGCTAAAGCCAGGCTGAGAGGGGCTCAGCACCTCTGGAAAACCTTATCTCTGAGGAGGAGGCTGCCTTATCTCGTTCCCATCACTCCTGCCTGGTGCAGGTGACAGCATCAACCAGCAGGTGCTGAACTCATCCACGGCCACGGGGCAGCGAGAGGGAGGAGAGCTCGAGGGAAGCGGGAGCTGTGCAATCTCAGCCGGTCAGAGCTGCGGAATTCCCGGGCGTTCCCAGCTCCGCAGGGCCCTGCAAGCACACAAAGAGCGGCTGGGCACGGGCTGATCCCGCCGGGAACGCGGCCCGGGAGGGCGGCGGGGCACCTGAGCAGTCACATCCCGTTAGCAGGTACGGGGAGCAGCGAGGCAGGAGCCCCGTTCCCCGCTCCTCCTCCTGATCTCTGCCGGGAGCACACGAGGTCTCCCAGCCCCACACGGCAGCTCTGGTCGCTGCCATGGCACCTCCTGCTCCTTCCAGATAGTCTGACAACACCAAACCGTGTCCAACCCGCTCCTGTCGATGTGTTGGAATGTACAACTCTCCCCGAAGGTTTTCCCCGCAAAGGATCTTTGCTAAAGGAGGAGCTGTGTCCCTGTCAGGGGAGTGTCCCAGCTCCGAGCCGCCCGCAGTCCCCGCGCGGGGTCAGCCCAGGACACAGCGAGGAACCTTTAGCTGCGTTCCGTGGGGACGCTCCACCTCTGAGGGGCATTTCTGTCATCACTCCAGCCAGCTCTGCCTGTCAGCCCCGGGAAGCCACCGCAGCCTGTTTGTCACCCACATTCTGGCTCCAACCACCACCCCCGGGACAGCGCGAGTGAGTTCCCAGCTAATGCTGCAGCAAGGTCACTGCTTCCCACGGAACAGCCCACGAGGATCCCTGCCTGGCCACCCTGGCAAGGCGAGGGTTAAATGCCCTTCCCCAGTGAACCCTGAGCTCTCACCCCGGGGCGTGCTCTCTGGAAAGGGGCCCCGGAAACGCACCTAGAAGAGCTTCTCGTAGCACTTGTCACAGTGCACAATGTCCCGGTGGATGAATATTTTATCCAGGAGATCTCCCATTGCTTTGTGGCAAATTCCACACTGCCAAAGGGAAAACAAGGAGGTTGGACAATGGGCAAAACCCCACGCAGGAACAGCAGAAGGGAGGGGACAGAGGGTCTGCACAATTTATTAAAAGGTGAGGATGCAACCTTTGAGGCTGCATTTTCCTACAACAGCCAAATGTCCCTGCAGGTCTGTTCCTCCCACACTCCCCATCCCTGCTCCTCCCACCCTCCCCACGTCCCCACACACTTTCCTTGGAAACCCTGCAGGGTTTGAGGATTCAGCCACCTCCACTGGAGCACAAAGAGCACAAAGCAGCGAGTCTGCCCCAAGGACAGCGGGACAAGGACATGAGGGTGTTCTGAGGATGCTGCCAATAATAAAGAATTCTCCTTGTTCTAACATTTATTCAAGGACCTGACAACCTCCCGGGGACACCTGTGACTGCCTGACTGTTTTTGTCCCAGTGTGAGGCAAGGATTTGGCACACCCCATGTGTATCCCTCTGAAAGGCTGGGGATGGAACTTTCAGGAAGATCCCTGCTCCCAGCCCTGCCATTCCCAGCAGGCAGGCAGGCTCTGGGGCTTACCCTGAAGCAGTACTCGTGGCAGTGGATGTTCAGGTGCTCGATGATGATCTTGGGGCAGTCTCGGATCTCCCGGCTGCAGTAGCTGCACAGGGGCTCGCTGGACCTGGCAAGAACAGGGCAGGGGATGCTTCTGGGCTGCTCTGTGCCAGCACTGGTGCCAGGGGTTCATGCCAGGCATCAGCACTGCTGTCCATGAGCAGCCTGCCCCCACAGGAGTGACAGAACAGGGACTGTGCTGTCCCAGGGGTGCCCCACAGCAG